GTGAAACCAGATAAGGAGGCAGAACTTGCAGGCGCACACAGTAGGAGCCAAAATGGTGACATAAAAGGGTGAGGTCTAGCTTGGGAAAATCTTGGTAAAGGATGGGGTTGGATTAGGGAAATGAAACCTTAAGAAGATCCAGAAAAGAGATTGGTTTGGGGAGGCCCCAGTACAAGCCAGGGAAGGATCAGAATAGAGGTTGGTTAGTTTGAAAGAAAGTATGCACTCTCCCAAACCCAGGGTAATATAATCACAGCTTAACAAAGGCCTGTCTTGGTGGCACAGTTGGTTTGTCCACTTGCTCTTTCACATGCACTCTCCCTCGGTAGCAGCTATGCAGCTGCGCACGCAGGCCCAGGTGCTGCAGGAGCAGAGGGTGTGCTGGACTACCAGAGCCCCGGGTGACGGCAGCACGGTCCTGGATCCTGACCCTCCTGCCGGTCACTTCTGCTCCCCAGGTCCAGGGCTCTTTCCACAGCGAGAAGGAGCTAAGCCACCTGGCTGTAGATGAGATATCAGGTTCCTGGGGACAGTCCTGTATTTTTGCTCCAGTAAATCTTACCACTATATCTCATCCTCCTATGTATGGGTCCCTAAGATGTTTTTCTTGGGACTCCATGGGAGAACCCGATATCCAGTGGCAACATCTGCAAACAAATAAACAATGACAACAAACAACAACAAAAACCCCTGTTACACTGTTCTAGAAATTCCATTCAGTTTTTAAAAATCTGTTTATTTTTGATACCCCAAAACAAATATTAGTGATTACTGCTACCTTTTATTAAATTAAGAATAGATGATATGAGACTTCCATAGTTTTGTAAATAAAATTCCAAAATGGGGATATAGAATGCTTCTTCTTGGCATGTTTTTGTGATAATGTTGACAGGTCTTTAGTTTACTCCTGAATTTTTAATAACCTAAGGATTTGTTTTATTATTTTTTCTTTTTAAAATGCTGAATTCACTCTCATAGATACATTTGGCATATGACACCATTCTAGTTGGTTGATTTTTATAGATCAGGTATCATTTCCCTCACCTTATAATGAAATATTTCAGACATGGCCAAATTGTGCCTTTAGGATAACTCATCTATCGTTAAATTATAGCTTCCAGTAACTGCAAATGCTCTGTGAAGCCACTTAATGCCCATCTCTCCTTATCTTCCACCAGCTGGCTGTAATGGATAGGCAAACAACATTTGCTTGATTGGCAAACAACATTTTTGCATAAGGAGAGAGAGGCTGCCGTGGTTAATTCCTTCAGTCAACCTGGTGAATTGCCAGCTGGGTTTCTGGCTTGACATTGCTGAGACTGGCGTTGCTAGTGGAAAGGGTCATCTGAGACATGAAAATGGAGTGACTCCTGCCTTAGTTTAGCAAGCTTCCTGGCTTAACCATTTCCTCTTTCCCTGACTTAACGATGAGTCCTAGCTTTTACTAAAATGGAGGTAAATAAATGCACAACAGGCAAGGAGGAAAGATAGGGGCAATTGGAATTGGGAACACAAACAGGAGATGATCTACACAGAAGTTTCCATATACACAGAGAAAGCCTAGAAGAGGTATAGCATAATCGTTCTACAGCAACTCATAGCCCTTCGAAATCTTTCCTTTGTATTTACTATGGAATCCTGAATAAGCTGTGAAGAATAAAAGATATTATGCATATAACGGGCCTGGCACTGTATCTGCTACACGAAAGAAGTGCAATAAATTGGACCTTTCCCACATACTCCCTAATAGAAATAACAACAGAGTAGCATATTTTTATAGTAGCTGCAAAAGAAAGTAGCTGATGAAAGACAAGTCTTTGTGTGTGTGTGTGTGTGTGTGTGTGTGTGTGTGTGTGTGTATGTGAGTTAAATCTTCCTCGATCCCAGTCTCAGATGTATTTAGAAGTGGACCCATTGTCCTCACATGCTTAGTATTTATCTTTCTAGAACTGTGACACACTTGAAAATTAGGGTAAAGGAAAAAAAATGGGTTTAGTATAACAAATATTCCTAGTAAAACATCTTGCGCATATCTAATAATAGATGTTTGTTGATTGATTCATTTAAAGTTTAGTGCAGAACAAGTTAAAAGGATAGAGAAACAAATATAGGTGTAAAAGGTAAAACTTGGAGTGGCCCTCCTGTTACTAGCATTTCACAATGCATATAAACTATTACTTGGCACAAGGTGAAGGAAGTGACAGAGAAGAGACTGGGAATCTGAAGACATATGTCTGGCTGCGGGATCCAATTTTGTAGGCCAAGTGCTAGCCCTGCCACTTACTTTCTCGGTACCACTGTCTTGTTCAGCCCATCCTAAACACCCAACTCCAACTTCCCCTTTTTTAGCCTTTCCAGCTCTCTACGCTGATTCTCAATAAAACTGGGAAACAGTCAGTGAGTTATTCCCTTCTGTATGTTCAAGGTGGCTATTTACCCCTCCCATATCTTACCTCCAGTTGAATACTCTCCTGCATTCTTCCCAGCTAGCTGTTTTCCTCTCAGAAAGCTTTCAATTAGTCCCCATTGAGGTGTTAACTGATAACCAAGGTGTTAACTGAAGTGTGAATTCTCTCAGGGTTATTTAAATTTTAAAAGCAGCCCCTTTGAAGACCCAAAATTCTGTTACAGAGAGAAACTGAGAGGAGATTTTCCTGTGATTAATAACATCACACCATCCCACTTAGAAGACTTTTACTCACACTTAGTAACATGCCCAGAAGTTTAGCCTCGAATGACAGTGGCTTCGGAGGATGGCATAGGTTTAAGGAGCTCTGCTGGTACAGTGGGATGAACTGCGCCATACCAGGCCAGCACAAATGCACTGGGGACAGGCTCATTCTGTACCTTGTGACTCAGAGCATTTCAAACTTCCGCTTTGTTGGTACAGCCTGCTCTTCTCTCAGATCTGAGGTTTGGTACCCTATTAGAAGCTTTTCTCCCAGACAACTGTAACTGTCATTGTTTTGTTCTTCAACACCTTTTCACATGGCAGTAGTCCATGCGAAGCTGCACTTTGGGAACTTGCCAGTGAAAGCTGGACGTGAAGAATTTTTATGAACATGTCAGGGTCATCGGTGAGATACGTGCATTTTGGAGTAAACGGAATAAAAAGTAAATATACGCTCCCATAAAGCTAAAGGTGATCATGTTAGTTTTAAATGGCAATTACTATGCTAAAATATATAATGGATGGTGATGGTGCGGGTGTTGTGCCATTCCTCCTCAAATACTTTGTGAGAAATACATCTTTTGAAAAGGTAGCTTGCAAAGGTTAGAAGGTCATTTTTAATGTAATATTTCCTGACTTGCTGTGCCTCAGTTTCATCTAAGGCTCAATTTCTGTGCTTTATCCATTAGATTTAAATTTTGAAAAATGAGTTTTCTTAAACATGTTAAAATATTCTCATTGAATTGAGAGGAAAGTACTTTTTCAAATTTTGAGGGGAAGAGGGGAAGCAGGGGGCGTACAGAATGAAGGACAGGAAAGCAGGAAGAGGTGAGAGTGGAGGATGGACCTCCTAATTACCTATGATATGTAAAACGAGAATTAGAATAGACTGAAGTGCATGGCATGTCCTTCTATGACTAGGCCACAATAAATATCTTTGGAGAAGAGTACACTGCAGTATTCTTCAAGTTATCTGGCGTGTGTTTACATCAGTCAGAACTTCTATGAACTGTAATTGAAAATTCTGTTTTTTTTTCCCCTCTATCAGTATTTACAGTTGAAGGGGGGAAACTGAGGGAGATATCTGAGTTAAAAATAGCTGTTTTTTCCCTTTATTTTACATATTATATAATACATTCACTTTTAAATTCTGCATTTGAAAACTAGAAACCAATATTAATTATTGTGTTTGATTCCTACTTTAATATAGTTTGAAAACATTACACAGGTTGTTAAGAGATTGAAATGGAAAATATGAGAAAGTACTACTGCTATTCAAATAGCTCCTGAAGTTTGGAAGCTACTTGAGATTTGCAAAGGTCATAGTTTTGGGAGATGTAGTTTTAGCGGAAATAATCTCTGATAATTTAAATAGAGATACATAATGTTATTGCAGTTTTTAGCCTCCATAAATCTCTTGATTTACATATAATAATCACTTCACCTAAATTCTCCAAGTCTGTGGGAGAGATTCTTTTCATCAGATTTTCTTTACAGGGGGCTAACACAGATTTCCTTTCAGTTTATCTAGAATAGTATGAGGAAAAGCCATGGGGAGCCCAGCATTTTGTCATAATTGGAGGTTTGGAGGACAAAATTACCGTTAGATGTTCAAAACCCTCTTCCATTTTGCAGGAGGGAGACATAGATTGGGCTTTTAAAGTTTTTTGACTCAGGTGCTAGAACGTAAAATACAGATGCCTAGTTTTTATTATGGGAAAATATCACAGTTCGTGGGAGGTTTAGGTGTACTCAAACACCCTACCTTTTCCTTTTTTTTTTTTTTAAGGGAAAGAATTATCCCCTTTAATATGAAAGCTTGCATTCTGTAATAATCCAGAAGTTCACGCCAACATACTTTGAGATTTCTGAAATTCAGTACATCTCCCAAGACCCTACAGATGGCTTTGCCTTAGGTCGGAGATCAGCCCAAGAGGTTTACAGGACAAAGTCCAGTGATGCATAAAGTTTTCTCCAGATCTCGTTTCCCTCGTCTGACTTCGAAAATGTAGAGCCGAGTCAACTAAGAGAGGTACAGTATGATTTGCGTTAAAGAAATCCGGGAGCAGAGAGAATGATCAGGCTGTCTGGCGAACAGAACATCTCCCGGAGGGGAGAGGTTGCAAAGCTGGTAAGGATCCTTGGGCGACAAGCGAGCGCATCTTCTGCCTCCAGTCCAGCGGCGCATCCGGAGTTAACTGCAGCTCGGATCCAGAGAGAGAAGGTGGGATAGAAGGAGGTGGAAGAGGGGGTGGGGGGAACGAGCTGGGGGAGGGAGGGGGTGAACCAACCGGAGTAAGCCGGAGAGCAGCGCGCGGGGCGGGGAGGCGGAGATGCGGAGAGAGCGCCGGGCGCCGGGAGCTGACTGGACCGCTCCAGACGGCGGCGCGTGCGGCGGCTTCTGAAAGCAGCGAGTTGGCCGAGCCCGGCTGCATTTCCAGCAGGAGCTGCGAGCACAGTGCGGGCTCACAGCAAGGTGATGTGCCAGGAAGCATTCTTTCTCCCGCTCGGGCTGCCGCGGCGGGGGCTTCCTTCCTTTTACCCACCTCTCCTCCCCCGGGTCTGCAGGTCTGCGCGTGTGAGTGCCCGGGTTTGGGGGTAAAGCCTGAAGGGTGGGGGCACCCTGTCCCTGCCTATCTCCTCCTCCTTCTATCCCCATCGTCGCTGATGCGCGTTTTCCAGGGTCTCTCCGGTCTCCGTACCCCTTGTTTGACACTGTACCCCCCACCCTTCCCCCCGGTTGTGTCTCCTTCCCCAGATGCTCAAGGTGCCAGCCGTATTGTGTGTGTGTGCAGCCGCTTGGTGCAGTCAGGCTCTCGCAGCTGCCGCGGCAGTGGCAGCGGCCGGGGGGCGGTCGGACAGCGGTAATTTTCTGGATGATAAACAATGGCTCACCACGATCTCTCAGTATGACAAGGAAGTCGGACAGTGGAACAAATTCCGAGACGTAAGTGCTGCGCATCCCCATTCCCGGGCACACGGGAGCGCTGCTCCGAGGTGGGGGCCGCGGCGGCCGGGGGCGGGTGGGCAGTGGGCTCGGCTTTCCCCGCCGAGGGCTTGACGGAGCCGTGGCGGCGCTGGGCGGCTGGGGAAGTTGGCAGCTCCGGGGCCCCCTCCCTGCTGGCGAGAGGGGAAGGGCTCGCGAGCGCGCAGCACCGGAGTTCAGGTCTCTCCAGGTTCCCACTGTACCGCTCCCTGTCCCCTCTGGCCCCCAAAGGTTTGCAAAGTGCTGGCTCGCCCTTCTCAACTTTTGAATCGTGTCTCTGGCACTGATAAACACAGTAGATGTGCTTTTGCGATGTATTGCTACAAAAGTAACTAGGATCGATCCCTTTACTAATGGTCCATTAAGGAATCGGAGGGAGGACGTAGGAAGATGTAAGATTTATAAATGACCGTTCTGCCAGGGTGGGGAGTTGTTTGGCGGCACCAGTCGGCAGAAGTTGAATTGCTCTTGATTACATAAAATTGCTGATCAGATGGGTGCTTCAGCATTAACTTTAAAACAGAACCTGTTTTATAGTGCGTTCAGTTACGTTTTATTCCCAAATGAATCCGTGCTGTAAAATCTGCGGGGTGAGGGGATGCCGCGGAAGGGAAGCCCGCAGGTGGTAGCATTGAAAGGGTTAATCCGTAGACTGCCCCGGGAAGTTTCCTAAGGGCTTATTAAGAAGGAGCCGGATTTGCAGAGTGGACGCTTGTTTGCCTTGGAGCCACGGGCCCTGCTATGCAGGTCATTTTTTCCCACCTGATCAGAATGAAGCAGCGTTCCGAGCGCGTCCTGCATCACGAGCGCGGTTCACCTCCGCGCTTCCAACCCGGCGGTCCCGGGAGGAGGTGGATTTCAGCCCCGCCCCCGCCCCCTTCAGACCGGGGAGGCCCGGCGGGGAGCTGAGTGACTCGCAGACGCACCGCCGACCCTTACTGTGCCATTTGGGGGAATTTCTCGTGGAGTCTCTCTGCAGTACGCTCCCTGCAGATGTGTTAACTTCTTACATCAGTTCACACTGTCACGATTTGGGAAAATAAACGGAAGCGTAGATTAGTTTTCCTCCTGGCTCCTCAACCCCTTCTCGCAACACCCCTCACATGAAATAACTGACAAACCAAGGCTAACATGTACTTGATTCTGGCGCAGGGATTCCTGAAGAAACGCTGTTTTACTTTAATAGTAGATGTAGGTCATTGATACTAGGCATTGCACAAGGATGAAGATAACGCTAATGATAAATAATACTTAATGGAGGGCTTTGCTTACATGCTTTATGAGTAAGGCTTAAATATTTTATTGCCAAATGAATGCTCTTCTAAAAGCAAACCACACACGTTTGTTTTATTTCAGTTTATACTAATATTGAATAAAAATAAAGAGTCAAGCAAGCAAATGAGATTATTTCTAAACCTGAGGAAGAATTTCTCTTTATCATGTCCTCACCTGGAGAAATAGTGAACATTCTGTCAGTATTTGAAGAGTGCTTCACATTATGGCATTTCAGTTTTTAATGGCTGTGTTAAAATGTTTTAAAAATGAATTTTAGATTTTGATCTCAAAATTATATTTTAAATCTGAAATATCTTAGTACTCCGACTATTTAAATTATTGAATTATTCAAAGCAACCGGTCTATACTTGGGAAGTTTGTAAACGTGTTTGATTTCAACTACTGAGGCAAGCTGAGTTGCCTGAAAGAATGAAATATGATAGGATTCATTCAGCCAACTTATATGAACACAGAATGGAGTATTTATTGCTATGGGTGGGGGGAAATAATAATAAATTTCATGTTACATTTAAGAGAAGGATCTACTGAAATATTTTTAGCAAGTATCTTTTTTGTTTCACACGCAGTACATGGAAATATATCCATGGTTTATTTTAGTATGATAACTACATTTTTGTGCGGACGACTCCCACAGGGCATGGGGAAGACAAGTGCTATCTCTTTTCACCATTTAACTACCTGTTGTTTATTAACATGATAAAATATGTGCTGACAGTGTGACTTCTCAAGTCAGCGTGCATAATATGCCATCCTTATTTAGACCGTCCACCCCAATGCTAATTTACTATTTTCCCCTCTTTGGGAATCATTAGCTTAATATTTCTATGTCTTTCAGGATGTTGCTTATTTTTTTAGTTCATTTTCAGCTGGAAGTCCATGATTATGAGGCATTGCTTGAAATAAAAATGTGCTGCATGAATGTACCTTTAAATGTTCTGCAACAGCATTGATATCTTAAGTAGGAGATTTGCATATTCAGTGTATAGAAAGGCACAGAAACAAGGAACTTTGAACCCCTTTTAGAAATAATGTAACTGATGTACTTCTACGTAGTGCTTTTTTCCCCATAAAATATAATTAATTTAAATTAGAAAAAAAACCTTGGATACTTCAGCATAATTAATACTAGAATTAATCCTTACCTTCATGTGGCTGTTTTACACAGCTGACATTATTGTTCAAGTAAGTTCTTGATGAAAGTTTGAAGTATATCTTTCTTCGAATTATATTTGAAACTGTTATGAATAATATTTAATTGTACAATTCATCAACGTATTTAATTTAATGAGTTAAATGAATGTTGTCTATATATATTACACATGATATAAATATATAAGCACATCATATATAATAGTGTTTCAGAGAAAGAGCATAGACAGAAAGTGTTATTGGAGAGTAGATGATCATAGGAAGCACTGTCATTGATGACTCATTTTCTCAATTTCCTCAACATGAAACACAGGGAAATAATAAAACCATAGGCCAGCTAACAATGAATGTGTATTAATATAGTAGAAACTTCCAAATCATTTTGACCACTTTATACCGGCAGTGCTCTTTGAATAAAGTTTTGTTGTCCCTTAAAGTATATAAAATGTGATGATATAGACAGAGAACTTTTATGCTTCTGAAATCATCAACATATTTGGTTATTTGTGTAAAAATGCCTGTAGAGATTTTAATTCCTGTGTTAGGAAAAATAAAACTTTAACTTAAAGATATGGAGATGTCAGTACATTTAAAAATAAGTATAGTAACTAGAAACATGCTCTATTCAGGGATAATTGTGTGGTTTTAAAATAAAGGAACAAAAAACCTGGCGCTCATTTTGAACGTTATTTTAAGAAATGGTTACCATTTGTGTTGCAGAACTCACCATCAATTTCAGTTTACATTTATCCCCAAGGGGTTTTTTAATACTCTTTAGATGTATTGAAAGCAATAGTCAAGCCTTACAAGTTACCTTTAAATATTCAATCTTAATACAAGTTAAAGGACATGGAAAATGTGAAAATGTAAAATAAAGTGTCCCAAAGGCACTCAAATTATAAATTGACTTCTTTTTAAATCGCCTGATTTGGATATACTGGAGAGTAAGTAAACTCTTCTTTTTTAGTTCCCCTTTTTATCTCAGTTGAGGTTCTAGAGTGCACAGATTATTTGAGAGATAGTGGCTGATGGGAAGGGATATTTCCTAGCACTTAGTGGCTGCAGAGAAATAAGGCCCCCCGAGAATCTATCAACTTTTACTGCTGTTAGTAAGTAAATAAAACAATTGGTTTCTATGTCTACTCCAAGGAAAGTAACTCTATTGCTTTAAAAGGCATTAAAGTTCAAACAGTGAGAATCTTTTAATACTTCCCTTAGATGTATGATGCACCCTGGTTGTGTTACCTGAGTATCTGGCTTATCCTTAACACTGAGGGCTCCTCCTTAATGGTACCACTTTTTAATTAAAAGAATTTAATCGAGACATTATTAACAAATAAAATTGTATATATTTAAGGGATACATTGTGATTATTTCACTATATAGATATATATTTTTCATTATATCTATAGTGAAATGATTACCTTTGTAGTCCATTAATAGTAGGCAAGAATGTTTTACTACTTGACTTTTTAACAATATGTACCAAAAATAAAATTAAAGAATTAATAGTAATCTTTATTCAGGAATAGTTTCTCAATAATGGATAACCAATTCTTACAAGAAACACATTTTTTTTTAGTGTTTCTCACTATGAAACTATGTTTAACTGTGGTAACCATAACCTATATTTTACCACGGTTGGGAACATGGACTCTCCACGAGAATTCTCCACAGTTAATTTGTTACATTCTCAGGAGTGTTTATCTCTCTTTCTTTTGATCCCTTTTTTTGACTGTGGGCCACAGTGTGTTTAATAATTCATAAAAGCCTTTGTATATAATGTGCATATTTGCAGATCAGAGCTAGTAGAGACTATAGCATGCAAAGTTTTTGATGTTAGACTATTTATATTGTTTAAATCATTCTGGGAGAGAGACAATTGATTTCTTGAAAGAAGCATTAGGCAATCTTTGAAGATTTTGGGGCCAATGAGTTAGTGTACAGACAAAGACATTAGCCTCATGCAGCATCCTGACCTCTATCCTTGTTATTGGGTCTTTGTTAAGCAATGGCTTCTTACAACCTCCACATCCCTATTTCTTAAGTCCCCTTTGCCCTACTCTAGTACCATACTCATCAGTCAGGATTTAAGACTTTTTTTCAAGTCAGATGTCACATGAGAATGGCAGGTCAGAGAATGCCCACTGATCTGCTGGATTCTGGAGAGGGACTCTCAGGGAGAGCTGGTATCACATCATCAGACCCCAACAGGACGTCTGAATTGAGTATCAAATTTAGTCAATTTGGCATGGTTCATTCTAACAGAAATTATAGGGAAGTATGCAATACTTTTAACTCTTGAGCTTTCATAACTTTTATAGAATTATTAGGAAAGTATAATTAAGTGGTTAAGAAAAAATTTATTCTGTGTATGTGCATGTGTATGTATGTAATATAGGTTTATAGTGTGTATATATATATATATATATATAGGTCTGCATAAGTGTACATGTATTGTGTATATATACTCTATATATGTGTCTTCAAGTAGGTCACATGTAATAGTTAGAAAA